TTGAGTTTATTTGTTGCCTTTCAGCTCGAACTCTGGCCATTCTCCTCTGACCTCTGGCATCAACAAGGCATTTTCGCCCACAGAACTTTTCTCTTTCTCGGCCCATTCTCCGTAAACCCTAGAGAAGGTGGTGTGTGAAAATCCCAGTAGATCTGCAGTTTATGATATACTCAGACCAGCCCGTCTGGCATTAACAGCCATGCCACGTTCAAAGCCCCTCAAATCACCTTTCTTCCCTATTCTGATGCTCAGCTTGAACTTCAGCAGATCATCTTGACCATGTCAACAATGCATTGAGATGCTCCCATGCAATTGGCTGAAAGATATTTGTATGCATATTTGTACCCAATAAAGTGGCTGGTAAGTATATATATTATTATATTATACTATGATGTTATGTTATGTTATGTTATGTTATGTTATACTACAGAGGAAAAAAATGACATAAGATATTTCAAATCCTGTCTTGACCGTGTAAGTAAATGCAGTAAGTTGGATATAAATGTGAAATAATAACTGAGAGAGATTTGACATAGTTATACACGGTTTACTTGTAAACATAGTTCATCATCACAGGTTTTTTTGACAAACTTTTTTGCTTAAACAAAACATTTTTGTATGGAATAATTAATATAAATGCGGTAACACTTTACAATCAGGATTACTTAACTACATTAGTGAGCATGAACTAATAATGAACAGCACTTATACAGCATTTATTAATCTCTGTTAATGTTAATTTCAACATTTACTAATTCTTTATTAAAATCTTGTTAACATTAGTTAACGCACTGTGAACTAACATGAACAAACAATGAAAAGCTGTATTTTTTATAAACTAACGTTAACAAAGATGAACAAACACTGTAACATGTATTGCTCATGGTTAGTTCATGTTAGATGAACCTTATAGTAAAGTGTTACCATAAATGCTTTACCAAAAATATGAGCGGCACTTATTCTGCTTTGCCCCATAGACTTCCTTGGTAAGTGAATTACAGTAGAAACAATTTTAGTTTGTTTTTTGTGAACTGAGGTGGTAATTGCAAGCTTCACTTGTATTAAATCCTAAACATTCCCTCAAAGGAAGAGAATTAACCCATAGACACAACCTTTCTTTGCAGTGTATGTAATTTATTTTGCGACACTCCAAAATAACAGTGATTTAACCTGACTTCCTGTGTTTGTGACACAAACCTCCAGACATGGAACATAGACCAAAGTAAATAGCACATCGAGACTTTCCATTCAATGGACTTTTACAATTACAACATAAATACATAATTACCCTGTCATACTCTCATGCATTATCTTCATGGTTCATAGGATTAAAATGTACAAACTAGCACCACAGAGGAAGATCTAAAGTATCTGATGTCAATTCACACTTCAATTTGCTCTTTAATGTCAAAGTAAATATTCTCTTATTAATAATAATTGTAAGTTTGCCTTTTGTGATTAATTGGTTTACTTAAAACTGATTCAAAAATATTTTTAAAAATGTCAATATTATTCAAGCTTTTATGTGACTGTGTTGCAATTTAAGCATCACGCTTTTGCTTAACTGTCAAACCAAATATTCACTTAAAGATTACAAAGGGCAACATCCTGTTTACTCTAGGTGTTAAGCCATGCAGTTGAGGGGGGGAAAAGTTAATAATGGCTGACTGAGAACAATATGAATGGAGGTTGTAGCAGTCTACTCTACATGTAGTTAAAAATTCTCCAACTGAAAAAAAAAATAACTTGGGTCAATGAAACAGCAACTGAATCAATGAAGTGCTGCTCTTTTTCTTTTTCTTTTTTGGCTGGATCTATTAAGTTATTCTAAATTACATTAAAAATGCAATCCATTCAAAGAGAACTTGCATACACCTCTTCTATACAAGTAGCCTATTAAAGGTGCAAGGAAAGTGTAGTAGGCCTACTTTATACAGGTGCGATATGGTTACACAACCTGACATTTTTACATTCATTAAATCTATAGTTTGTAGAAAAATGGACAAATGTTTCCAAAACATGTATGAAATCAACAGGATTAGAGTGAATGAAGCTAAACTGGGCGACTTTTGGCATTGGGAATTGCCTTTTTATCTGAATTCACCCTTCACAGATGACATTTCTAAGAATTTAGCACATGTTGCAACTGTATTTTTAAGAGTAGGCTAGCCAACTCATTTTTATCATCTTGGTAACGCTTGTATGACGCAATTATCTCAAAATGTGCAGAGTTCTCTTTAGTTGTTCTGATGCTTTTGTAATGGCATAGGCTAATTATTATTCGAAATTTTGGCTTGTCAGTTTGTTGTTTTCTTAATCGTCCACACCGGAACTCTTTATGCTTAATACTTCCTTTCACACGTTAAAATGTAACAAACCCTGCGTGTTTGCGAATCGAAATGATTACTTCATGAAGTCACTGTATAACTCAATAATAACTCACCTCTCGAAGCTTTTGCGCAATACGCAACCTACTTTTCTTCAGCGTCTTCTGTCGTTATTTCTACTGTTGGTGGCAGCAACTCTGCGTGTCAAAAGTATTGTGGGTTGATTCCATTATCCAGCCAAAAAAAAAAAAAAGATCCCAATGCAGAAGGTAAACGGTGTTGAAGAAGAAAGCGCTTCGCCCAGTTAAAGCGCGTGCAGACTCCAGAGTCGCGCGCTCAATGAACCAACAGTTAGTTTTCACAGCTCTGAACTCCGCCCGTGTTCTCATCTGTCATTATCATGAGCTAGTCTCTTCTGATCTGTGCCACCATCGAGAAAAAAAAGATGAAAAAGCAGAAGAAACGAAAGTAACACATTTGTGTTTTACATGTGGGCCTGTCGTATCTTGATGTATTTTGCTAAAGACCACGGAAACGCGCGCGCATTGTTCTTAAAAACTTGAGGAAAACTTATATTGTATAGAAAATAAATAAAACACGCGTATTGTCTACTGTTTCATTCGACTCAATTTCATAAATTTCACTCTGTCGATAATGTTTGAAATAATTAATTAATAAATATATAAAAGGTGCTGCCAGAGACCATTCAGATCTTTGACATTGACTCTTTGAACTGATTTGCTCGTCATTGTCATCATCATCGTTGACAGCTATAAAACCTGGACGCCAGGACGCAAAATGCTTTTTTCTTGATTATGTTGTAGCCTACATCACGTCATGCCATCATAGTGACTGGCATGTGTGATTTAATCCAGGTGAACTGTATTTCCTGATAAAACATTCAAGAGACTTGCGGTCCGCATCCTTATCATATTTACTAGCGTTGCTTTACTGCCATCTAGCAGTAAAACTGCAGTATTTTGACCAGGGCCCAATTTTTGAGAAGGGTAGACCCTCGTTTTTTTGTATGATTTAGCTGTTTATACTATTTTATAGCACTTACTATTCAGTTCTGTATTTATTTGATTATTTTCAAGGATGATTTAGTTGTTTAATTGTACAAATTTAATTTATATATTGTCCTAACCAGTGATGGGTGTAATTAATTACTAAGTAATCTAATTACTGTAATCTAATTACTTGTCCCATTAAGTAAGGGATTACTCTGACATTTTTCTGAAATTTAATTACAGTTACTTCTGATGTAATACTATAGCATTAAATACTGTATAGATTATGGAACAATTCTATATAAAAATAGTGGGTTTAACATAAAACAATTTTTTTTAAATATAACCTTCTCCCTTTAAATACTTTGGTCAGTTCAAGAATAATGCAATTGTATGTTGTTTATTTGAACAAATCAATTTGAAAGAAAGTTTATTTCGTGTACTTGTATTGTTCAACTGGTTGATGTTGATATGGGATTTGGAAAGTAATTAGTAATAAGTAATCAAATCAGTACAGTAATCTAATTACACAGTTGAAGGTGTAATTAGTAGCTAGTAATTAATTACTTTTTTAGAGTAACTTATACAACAATGGTCCTAACCCTAAACATACCCGTTGGTAATTGTTTCTATATATGAACTATATTCTGTTTTTAAATTCAGTTAAATTCAAAAAGAAAAACTATTCAGAAAGACTTCAATTCATTAGCCGCAGCGTGGCGCTTCACATCAGATGTGTGACACTTAAAAAGTGCAGTAAATGGTAAAACAATTGCTCAACAAACTAGTGTTTATTAGTATGTTAATGAATTAAAATAATTTGAAAACAAATTTACAATATCCAGCAGCATGAACTGTTTTTGCACAGCTAAATAATAACTGGAGACTGCTGACAATGAGAGCCCCGCATATTCAGTTTTAAAATTGTCACACTTGCTCTTACAATAAAAATAAGCTAAAGATCATACAAAATTAATTATTTCCAATGGGTCTTGTCTTTGCATTTGTTTGCAATCATGTCTCCTCTGTTGGTGTAAAATTTGCAAGTGGCACCGTCACAAAAAACTAGGGTCCTAGAACTGCGGTCCTGATTCCTCTGATATTGCAGGAATATAGTATTTATTGTGCAATTTTTAAAATATTTTTCTCTTATAAATAAGATTACCTGCAACCTTCCTGCCATTTTGTAATATATTATACTCGTATAACAATAATAATACTCCAAGACACTCTATTATACATTCTATTTTGATTAAATAACAGAAAAGCTATTGTCCAAATTTGATGAATAACCTTTATTTATAATTTCAATACCATAAAAAAACCCACATGAATAGGATCAATAATTGGTCAGTGCAGGTACTAGAGAGGATGGTTGTGCATTTACCAGGGACACGAGCACTGAGTTCACCTATACAAGTTGAGTAAAGCACTTTACAAATAACAAATAAGAAATGTTTCTATAGATAAAAGCTGAACAGATCCAAGTAAAATGCAGACATAAATACGTAATTTAAAGGAGAACACAACATGGTGGAGTTCAGGGTGGATAAGTGCATGAATGCCCCTAACGTAGGCTCTGAGCTTCAAGATACCTTAGTTCGGTGTATCAGCAAAGAGCATGACTGTGCTGAACTTTCACTATTGAAATATAGCTGCCTATACTTCATTGTGCTACGACTGGCTAATAAGTCACATTTTCATTGTTTCGAATTGTTGCAATTTAGAAAAGTTAATTGTGCTTTTTTTTTTGGCACAGCATGTCACCTGCTCTTTTTCTTTACTGATCAGAGCCTATTGTTTGCATCAGATGGGCATTAAATGATTCCAGTCCCCGAACATCTGAGAAGTGTGCTGTTGTAATGGTGTAATGAATTGCTCTAATGAGGTAATGTGTTCCCCGATTAAATAATTTCAAGTTAAAACTACTAATAATAGCACTACACCAATATTATTAACAATATGAAAAAAGGAAAGAGAAAAAAGAACACAAGTAATTAAACCGATAAAAAGTTCAGCCTCTGATCTTTTAGATTCTCATCCTCTTTGTCAATTGGATTCCTCCAGAGTCTGTATAAAGGGACAAATGTAGAGAAGCTCAGCTTTTTGATTCTTATTAATTACCCAAACTAGAATTGTCCGAGAGTGTATTTGCTAGTCATACCTTATTACTTCAATGGAGGGGCATGATGGGAGGCATTTGGCTATCGCTGTGGCTCCAGTCGTGGTTATTTTATTGGCCTCCAGGCTGCAATTATTAGTTTTTAATAACATCAGCATACTGTAAATCCAACATGTAATCAGCCGAAAAGGTAAACTTTCACTGCAAGCGCCCAAGTAACTTACTCAAGTCTTTTCAGCTTTGTACACAGGGGCAGAATCTTAGCCAGTGTCGATGCAAGACTGTCACCACATCCATTCCATGACAAGCTGAAAAAGACAATGACTTTATAAACTAAGGGCAGTTTTAAACAACACACAGGGAGGACCAATAATAATTAAATGTGTGGGTCCATGCATTTATGAGTCAAACTACAGCATTTGAAATATCTGATCCCACCTGACATCTTCTATGGATGGACAGTGTTTGAGGGATGATGCCACATCAACCAGATCTGAACTCCCAAATGAAGTCAAACTGAGAGACAAGTAGTTACACTGGTTTACAGAATGCAGCAGTATGCAATAACCAGGTTATATACCGTTCAAAAGTTTAGGGTCGGTAAAATGTTGTCATGTTTTTGAAATAAGTGTCTTATACTAACCAAGGATGCATTTATTTAAATAAAAATACAGTAAAACGTTAAAATGAAATATCATTACAAATTAAAATAACTGTTTTCTATTTCAATATCTTTTATGTAATTGTAAAATGTAATTTGTTCATGTGATGCAAAGCTACATTTTCAGCAGTCATTTCTCCAGTCTTCAGTGTCACATGATCTTTCAGAAATCATTCTGATATGCTGATTTGCTGCTCAAGAAACACTTCTTATTATTATCAGTGTTGAAAACTGCTTAATATTTTTGTGGAAACCATGATTTTAGTTCTTTGATTAATAGAATTTTTAAAAGAACAGCATTTATTTGAAATATAAATTCTTTGTAACATTGTAAATTTCTTTACTCTCACTTTTGATCAACTTAATGCATCCTTGCTGAAAAAAATATTAATTAAAAGTATTTTTCAAAGTCAATTTATTTAAAGAACTTTTGAACAGTAGTGTGTGATGTAACAAATTCAATCATATATGTGGCTCTGTAAAGTATTTGGTGTCTTACTGTAGTATTTTCAGTGCCTTCATGCTTATGAGACCTTCACAAAGAGCCTTGGATCCTTGTGGGTCAAACTGATTCTCTGACAAACTAAAAAAAAAAAAAAATCACCATTGCTGACATCTTTTTAAAGCAATAGTTTAATCTAAAATAAAAATTCTGTCATTATTTACTATGTAGACCACAACATGCATGACTTACTTGAGTTCTGAAAGCTGAGGCAGTAACGGAAGGACTTGAGATAGTTTAGCAGCACTGGCCTGACCAAGCTTGTTTTTGGACAGCCTGTGAAAACAAAATAATGAAGAATGGTCAGCTACTGATTTTGCAAGCAATATCACACATTAATTAAATCAAGTGAATGTTTTACTGTAGTTTCTGAAGAGCTCTGCAATGGGATAGAGCCGCCAGTAGCTTCTCTCCAGCCTGGTCACTTATACTGTTGTCTGACAGACTGCAAAAAGTTTCGAGGAACATTAATAATGATGCAATGTTTCAGATGACTGTAATAACAACAATAACACTACCGTTCAAATGTTTAGGGTCAGTTTTTTTTTTTTTTTAAATGGTTTTGAAAGAAGTCTCTTATGCTCATTGATCAAAAACACAGTAAAAACTGGTTTGCAAACTAGTAAAAAGTAATATTGTGAAATATTATTACAATTTAGAATAACTAACTGTTTTGTAGGCCTATGTCAATACCTTTTAAAATGTAACTTATTCCTGTGATGGCAAAGCTGAATTTCCAGCATCATTACTCCCGTCTTCAGTGTCACATGATCATTCAAAATCATTTTTACATACTGATTTGGTAATAAGAACCATTTCTTATTATTATTATCAATGTTTAAAACAGTTGTGCTGTTAAATATTTTTGTGCAAACCATTCGAACTTTTGAACAGTAGTGTGCATTTTTTAAATAAACACAAGTTAGTGTAGGCTATATTTCCACCATATTTAATTGTGTCCACTAGAGGGCGGTCTATCACAAGCTTTAATAAATTGTTCTCTCAGCTGAGAAATAATCTGAATCTCATTCTCAATGCAGTTGCCATACCTCAGCTTTAGTAGTTTAGTCCATGAAGGAATGTATTTCACAAGCTCATAAGTACCACCATCTCCCATTCGCCAACTTTCCAACCTGTAAATAGCATTACATTTTTTTTTTTTTTTTACATATAAGCAAATGCTGTTAGCATTTGTGTGCATGTGCTTTTACAGACCACAACACTTACTCAATCTCTTCCATCTGTCTAAACCCCTTAAAAGAGGCAAGTAGACAAAGTATGCCAGTGCCATTCACAAACGTCTCTGATGTCACCACTCTAATGTTGTTCAAGCTAAGGAAAGCAAACAACCAGATTAGATATGAAATAAAAAGATGGGTTTCTGGGAGAGTATACCTGCTTATTGAGTGTTTGCTAAATATTCAATGAACACTACAAGGCTTACCTGAGCCTTCGAAGGGAGTCCAAATGGCTGAAGCCTTGCGCTAGGATGGTTATCCCCTCCTCATCAAGTACCAAAGAGTCCAGTCTATAATTGAAAACAAAGTATTAAATATGGTATAACCTGTCAATGACAGTGAATGTATTACAGAGTGCGGTGTTTGAAAAGCGGACACTACAACATGATTTACCGTATCTCTGCCAGTGAGGCGCACTGCACCAGTCCTTTGACCAGGTCACGCCCTCGAGCTGTTGTCCAGCCAGAGCACTGGGACAGACTGGACAAAAACATATCAGCCAATCAGCAATGTTGCACTTTGTTGCGATGAGAAATAATGAAGAAAATCAGACACTTACTTAAATGATTTCAGATTTGGCACACTTTGAAGAGCTCTCCCTAATATTGCAGCTCCACGGTCACCTAAAACAAGCTGGGACAAACTTAAACACATACAGGAAGGAAAAGGTAAATAAGCTCACATAATGAAATTACACATACTTTTCCCTGTAAAGACCTTTTTTTTTCTGTGCAAAGTTAAACTTTACTTGGATAAGAGTAATAAGAAAGACAACAAACCTCAGACTCTCAAACACTGGAGTGCTTGGTAATGCTTCAGCAAGAGTTTCCACATCATCCTCAGCTGCTGCTTTCAAATCAAGACTGTAAAGTATACAGTACTTATAATAACACCAAGAGTGTTACAAATAAAGTACACAATGGTGTTTCTTCAACATCTTTAAGTCCCAGGGGTTGATTTTTTTATCTTACTTTATGTAAAATTAAATAAAATGTTTTAAAGCATGACCATCCAAACTAAGAATAAATTAATTAAAAATGATTTTAATATTAATATTCCCGGTTTCACAGACACAAGGCTTAAGCCTAGTCCCAGACTAAAATGTATGTGTGAGCTAAAAAAGCAATTTGTACAGACATCTTAAAATATGTCAGTGATGCACTCAAGATGCACACCAGTAATATTTTTTCTTCTTCTAAGGAACGTTTATAAAAGCTACTTAAATGTCCTAATTTAACTAAGGCCTAGTCCTGGCTTAATCTAAGCCTTGTCTGTGAAACCAGGCCATAGTGCATCACGTTTGGTTTTGGGAATCTCATTTTAGTTTCCATATCTTTCATTTTGAATTGTCTTTTTTATTTTTCTAGTTTAGTAATTTAATTCCCCCGTTCCTCATGCCAACATGTCATGTGATTCTCTTGCTCTTTGTGTTATGTTTTCATTAGGTGTGTTCGACTTGAAGCGGCACAGCGCAGACCGATCAATGTGCCGCAAGAGCGATTTGAAAGCATACAAAGCCTTCTGCTCTGTAATCGCTCTCGCTGTACTTTGATGTCACACACCAATCGGTCTGCGCAGCACTTCTTCAAGTTGAACACACCTTTTGGTTTATTCTAGTCATGTGTTTCTCTGTTCTCTGTATGATATATGTTACAGAAAGCTAGATGGAACATGAGGGGTATAAATACATATGGACTAATATCCACTGGAGCCAGTTGAAAGTGAGAGGTGCAGTTTATTGATAAAAAAAATACAAAACAACATAGACTTAAACTTAACTAAAAACATGACTTGAAACATGACTAGAAAAGAAATGTGAACATAGACTTAAACATGGACCTGAACATGAACTTGGACATGAATAAACCAATGATAACATAACACATAGAGCAAGAGAAGCACATGATCACATCATGATCACATCAAGAACGGGGGAATTACACGACTAATACATTTTTCTCAAAAGTTAGTGTACTTGTTTACTTGAAGAGCTTGAGAAGGAAATATGAGACACCATGATGATGAAGAAATAAAGAGAAATCAAGTAAAATATTACTTCTGAGCAACATATTTTTATTGTACCGGTGCTTAATTTTTAATCAAGCTTTAATTTAGTCAAATTATGCAAATACAAAAAATATTTAATTGTGTGTATTTAGGATATACAGATGCTACAGAAATAGCCCTAGCAACAAAAACATGTCATGTGATGCATGTATATATCCACTCTTAGACATTCTGTAAAAAACATCTAAATGTTTAATAAAAACACCCCATACATATAAAATAAAGATAATTATCTGTTTATTGTGCTTAATTATGAAAACCTTACGTGAGGCTCCTGAGATTCAGTAAGGACGGAATGACTGCAGACAAAAACTCTGCGCCTTTTCGGTCCACTTTAAGCTGAGAAAACCTGGACACAAAATGAAGTGAGCAGGATTCAAACTAAGAAAAAAAGACACCTAAGACAACAAAATCAGCATAAACTCATTGACTTACTTTAAAACCTCCAAGCCAAGACATTTCTGGATGGGAAATGTCAGAGGAGTGAGATGCTGTCCTTCTATGTCACAGCCATCAAAGCTAAAGAATGTGACAAAAGTGTTGTTGTACATCAAATGCACAGAATATCATATTAAAATTAAATTAAAGAAAAGCACAAAACACCCAATTACCTTTCAAGCAAACAAAAAGCCAACTCACCTAAGGGTCTGCAGAGCAGGTGAGACATTTTCAGGATGAACTCTGTCAGAAAAAACGGGCCAAATTAACTTTGCATAGGCCTATATAACATTGTAAACCATTTTTATGAACACTCTATGAACGTAAAAACTATAGGGAGTTATGAAACTTACATAGAAGTGGAGCTGGGACTGGAATTGGCCTCTGTAATGATGTTTATGGAAGCACGGTTGACCCTGCAAATGTTGGGTAAAAAATATTTTTTTATCTCCTTGGGATGTTTCATAAGCAATATTTAGTGCTATACTTTTTACGAAATCAATCATATGATACATTAGTAAGTTAGTATCCTCTGCAAATATGTCATTTTAATTTGTTGTGCCATTCAACATGAACGTGCGAGTGGGGTCTAATTTAGGATGAAATGAGGGTCACACAGGAAACCACTCGGTAAACAGCCAGACACATTTTGTTTAACTCAAGTAACATCAAAAAATTCAACAGGTGAACTATTAATACTATTCACTTCACTACACTTCACTTTATCTTTGACTACATTTGCAGTTTTAAACATATATTGAATTTGTGCATTTTGCTGTGCTGACAAGGTTTTGAAAAATGGTACCTGTTGTCATTAAGTTATCAGTGGTCACATGATGTGTGTGTGTGTGTGTGTGTGTGTGTGTGTGTGTGTGGCTTGTAGGTTACTGCTTCAGGACTGCACCTGATTTCTCTGATGTGTGGCTGCAGATTCAGACATTTGGCAATGAGACTGATAACATCATTTCCTGTCAGCCATGGCTCTTCAATCCTAATGAAAACATCCCAAACACATCATTATCCTCACTTTGTATCTGCTATATAAAAATAGCAACTAATCAGAAATAAGACAGAAATAACAGAAATAAACTAATTTCGTTGTTTCTTAGGGCAAATTTGGAAAATAAACTCTTAATATACACATGTATACATATGACTTTTTTCCCCACACATCCACCAAAATTTCCATCACATCTCAAATTATGAAACACCCTTAAATAGAACAGATGTTTTGTTCTGTTTTTACCTGATGTCTCTGTGTTGGTGACATCTACTGAACTGTTTGACAAAATACTCTATTTGCTCAGAAATCAAACCATTATTTCTTAATCTGAGAGGAATAGAAAAATGTGCATTAAAAACCTGTATTAATATGCCAACTATCCAAACTATCCAAAGATCCATGCAACTGTCGAAAGCGATATGTCATCATTTATCTGTGAGATCAATCCTTGTTAAAATCTTACTTCACAGTATGGATTGTGGAGAGCTCAGCCAGGCTGTCCAGTAAAAAGCCTTGACTCTGCAGTGAATTAGAAGACAATCTAAAGAAAGAGAGGAACAATAAACATTTTAACACCAATGTTTCTATAAGGTGCAGCATTTTTCTGAGAGGACAATAAAGAAAGGGGTGAATTCAGGGTGACTTTTTGCCATTGAGATGACTAGGAAAAATGATCCCAATCAACCCTACCAACTCAATTCACCCTACTTAGTTTTAGAAGTTATGAAGTGCGCACAAAACACTTATATGGTACATAGTAATGTAACTGTGGTCAAATACTCACTCTAATGTAAGTAGCCTAGGGCATCTGTTCAGGATTTCCACAAGCTTCTTCGAGTGTATGACATCAAAACTGCATTCCCTTAACCTGTATGTCAAGACAACTGTAAGAGGAAGCTAAACACCAAACCACTTTCACTTTTGACTTGAATAAACCTATTATTCTCGTGACTATTTGATTGTCTTTCGATTGTGATGCCTCACGTGCATTTTGGGAAATTACCTAAGAGTCTTGTCGTTGACGTGTTCCTGCACAAAATGAATGAAAGACTGGTCTTCCACTCCAAGACTAAAGAAGAGAAGAGCATATACAGTAGCTAAAAAACTTATGAGAATAACTGAAACACTTTTCTGTAAACCAATCCTTGCTCATGCCAATGAAAAGTCATTACCTGACTTCAACAGCAACAACCTTTTCACAAGTATTCATTGAGTTGACCAGATCCAGTGCACCTACTTGAGTCATTCGATTGCCACTGATGCTGTGAAGGAGTACAATAAGTAAACTTACCCCATAATAAGAGGTAAAATAACCCATAATGTCAATTACAAGCAACGAATGTTATGAAGACAGGCTGTGACTAAACTCTTACCTCACTGAGCTTGAGATCTTTAGTTTGGGCAAATAATCAACAAAACATTTCACCCCTTCATCTCGGAGAAGGTTATGAGACAAGCTACAATGGGGAAAGAAATACAAATTTGTTTGCACAACAGTAAAATGTACCGACTTCTAATAGGATGAGAAAACAGTGGTAAAAGAACAGAGGAATACTTACACTAGTTCAGATAGGCGAGGACAGTTCTCCAGTATCCTTGAGAGCTTCTCAACATTGGTTTTGCTCAGTTTATACTCTGTGAGCCTGTAAACATCAGAGAAAGAGTCAAAACCTCCTGTTTCCAAAGGTGCCAAATCTATTATAGTGATTCAGCATTCAGCATTACAGCATTCAGTTTAAGGTGTATTGCATCAAAAGCAGTGTTATTTCAATATTATTTATATACTATTATAGTTTTTATTTCTATTTTCAAATTGCTTTTATTTTTATATTTAATATTTTTATATTTAAGTTTTGGTCATTTTTTTATCTTTTAAAAATTGTATTTTTTTTTTTTTTACATTTCTATTTCTAAAGTCCTTTAAATTACTCACTGGCACAGAAGAAATCCGCTCAATACCACTCAAATGCGAGTTCTGATAGCGTGAGATCACTGAGTTCTGAACTCTAACGAATGCTCTCATTATAGCCAGCAAGGTGAATCAATTATTTATACAGTAAGTATAAACCACTTCATAGAGTTTTCACAAGGCGGCAGAACTCACTACATGCGCTGAACTGAAGTGTTTGAGAACTTCAGTAATTTTAAAGGGCTAAGAAGAACTTGACCGTTTAGTGACCATCCTAATTTAACTCTAAATAATTGAAAAGTATATTTTTTGTCATAATCACATGGCCACTGTATCAATGTTGAGCTGACATTACTTACTTGCAAATTGCTGCCTCTGCTTTTTCAGGACCAAATTTGATGAATGCTTCTGCCTGGTGTCTAAGAATCATTTTAAAACCAACTTTAGGAATTCAAATAATCAATATAAGTGTTTTTAAAAGCATATTTTAAGAAAGGTAATCCCTACTTTAATATCTAAAAATATGAACTTAAATAATACACCTTAGTTCTACAGCCGTGACACGCTGGCAGTCAGCAAGAGATCTGACCAATAACAAAGCCCCATTTGTAGACAGGTCAACATGACTTAAGCTGAAAAATAAAGTCATCTTAGATTAATAAATGTAATATCAGGTCATTCATGATAGGGATCAAATACAGCTGTGCTACAGGAACCAGACTGTTATGGCCACTTACTTCAGTAGATGAAGAGAAGACATTTCAGGAAGGATCGACATTAACTTCTCAATAGACTCATTTGATAGTTTTAGATGGGAGAACCTGTAACACAAATATAAAATGTGGAAAAGCAGAATGTAAGTGATCCATATAACAGTCTTTTGTCTCTACACTATAGATTAGCAGACATTAAAGCTACTCACTCAATCTCCAAAAGGTTTTCACATTTAACCAGCTGCTTACACAGCTTGGCCATGTAGTCAGGTTGGATATCACAATGGGTTAAACTGTAAAGACAAAAAAACACATAAATTACCTGATTATCGCTAAATCAATGTATATAACAAAACTGAGAGATATACCTGAGTTTTTTATGCACATGTATCCCATTTTCACTTGGGGTCAGCTGTCTTGAAGCATGTCTGCATTTATAAAACACATAGGTTATACTACGCCAACCTTACATACTTTACATATTAAGCAAAAATGTCTGCAACCACATCTGTTTCCGTACCTTCTGCTGGTGTCAAACCAAAGAACCAACTTTTTCTTTTCATTTCCACTGGTGAGAAAAAGCACAGTGTTAGCATTTTAACAGCCATTCAGACAGGCAGAAAAATGACCAAAAACTCAATGCTGGTCTTGACCTTGCATTCACTCTCCTCAGGTTCTTCTGGTTACAGAGGGCAGAAGCAAGCATCACCACCCCATCCAGATCAACACCATTTTCACTGAGACTGTGTGTGTTCAGAAACAAAATATATACTCTTTTGAAAACAGAAATAGACTGGCAGTACGGTAAATGGAGAAGCTCTTTTGCACATGCACTAGAATATTGTCTCACTAGAACTGTCAAAACCAAAGGAAGCTGCAGACAAAAACATAGGCCTACTTGATCTCCTGAATTGTTCCTAGTTTAGGCAGAAGGTCCAGAATCTTCTTTAGGCCCTTGTTACCAAGCGAGTTGTAGGACAAACTGAGAAATGAGGAAAACATGTAACATCAGTGCTGTACTTACAAGAAGAATTGTGGGTGTATGAACTCAATCCGATATGAGGTACACTGAAGTTTAAAAGGTAGGATTTATGGTGAATTTTAATACTTACTCTAAAAGGGTTATGAAGGAGAAGCCCTTGAGTTTATTACACAGACTGGCTACATGGGAAACGGTGATGTTACACTGCTTAAACCTATAAAGAAACAATTACAACTTCCTGTCAGTTCAGTATGTTTGGTTTGAAAATTATAAACCCACTGAAACAATGGTAGTGACACAGCAGAAATTGTGGTTCATTTTCTCAAGGGTGTAGGTTTGATTTTGTCATTGGTGGAGACATTAGCAGTACCCCCTCTTAAGACACTGTACATCACTTTATTTTAATATTAAAAAATAAAACGCTCTGTGACCCTACTGTTGCTATAGTAACAGATATTTCATGTGCATCTGATTGACAAATAAACTGCACATTCTTATTTCAGCAAACAGTTTGCTTTGTATATTCAGTTTAACAGTATTACGTTCAAGAGAAGTGGTTAAACTTTATAATTCAATTAATCTGTGCATATGAATTTTAATCACTTATGTTATGTTCTTGCCCCTTCCATGCAATAAATGGGTGTTGTTTAATGAGCAGGGTTTTTCTGGCGTATTTACTTTAACTTCTCAGGTACTAATGTTAATGGTGTGACCCATTTCAGGTGCGGCCAAGATTAATAAACTTTTATAAGCCTTATTTAGTGGAGTCGAGAGTAGAGAACAAGATCTGAGCTAAGACTCTCTTGTGAAAGAGAATATTAATCTTAATGAGAATTTTCCTGGTTAAATAAAAAATAATAACTAAAAGACATGAATGGACAACAGCATAATAACCCTGCCCTGACCCTTCAAATAAAACAATGCCACAAATGTCTGTGACCTTGTAAGAGGGAGTTGGAGAAATCATAAAGAAAACTTTGCACATCAAATTGCAGATGATCATCAATACATACTGTGAATATTCCTGATTAAAATAATTTTTTGATAAATAAATATACATATAACAAGTCAGTTTCTCATGAGTATTTTCCATAAAATTTAACATTTTTGTTTGCTGTCTTCAATATGATTGTCCTGAAATTGCATAACTTCTGTCAAGCCTATCCTCTTCCACAAACTATCCTCTTATTCTCCTGAAATGCTGCCCAGTGATGAACACTTGGACTTTATAGACACCATACACCACGTTATTAAACAAAGCAAGATGAAAGCACAGCTCCTTCTATATGATATAATGAAGCCATAAAGTTTTAAACTCATTAAGTCTAAAGTTCAGTGTTAAGTTTAAAATCTAGACTTTGTAACTAAGGATTAATTTGTTGTCCTTTATCTGAAAAGGAATATGATTTTTAAAGGAATCAGCACTTACCTTACATTCTTTGTCTCTTCCGTGTTATTCAAGTCTGTGTTTTCACTAAGAAAGAAAAATTGAGAAAAATGCATTTTTATGTTTATGACCATCAAACTCTGCAGTCACTACAGACTGCACTTTAAAGGTGGGGTAAGCGATATTTGAAAAACACTGTTTGAAAGTTCGTCGGACCGACACAACCAGACACAACAACAAATGTGTAGTAGTCAATCAGCATTAGGGGGCGTATGGCGGTGGAGGAGAGAGAAAGAGCAAGAGGGAGATTTGAAGAAATACTGTCAAAAAAAAATCTCATACAAAAAAATACAAAAATACAAAAAAATCTCAGAGGAATATCACTGCGAAAAAAAAGGGTTATGATCAGGAAAGAGCTTTAGGACCCGCGTTAATATTAGAAAAGCTTTCCAGTGCTGGAGAGAGCTAAGCGGGAAGGCCTGAAAACAGACGCGGAGGTTGCTTTGATTTCGCTCCGAGTAACACTGGTTTTGAGTGTCATTGTTTGTCTGGACCAGCTGGCAACTAACAACGAACTCTTGCTTGTATTTCCCCGGTGTGTGCATGTTACTTTTTTGTGCTTCCTTGTCGTTCGTTCATCATCTTCGCTTTATTTTTAATGAAGCATCATTTTGTTGCGCTTCTGCTACGATAAATACCCATCCACTGCATTGCGTTGCGTGTGTAACGGAGGCAGCTAGTAAGATTTGTGCAGGCTGATGACTGTTAGAGAATGTGTTGTATACTGTTTAGCGTACTTGTTAGTGTACCAGCCTCGCATGACAGCAATCAGGGTTTTGAGACCGACTCGGAGCAGGGTGGTTAGGATGTAGGGCTGAGTTTTGGTGGCGAAGCAATGAAGAGAGGAATGTGTTCGTTTGGGTTGATTTCAAATATCAACAATGTTCAGCAACGACATTGAGAAATAGCATACTGCAACTTTAACATTAGGGTAAAAGCTATAGACTTGCCCTCAAAAAAAAAAAAAAAAAGATGCACAACATCTACCACCATACGTTATCACTTTCAGCCAGGACATAGTGCATTGCACTGCAATAACTAGCCAATTGCATATTGCACAGACAATGTCACCACAAAAGATGTGCTAAACAGGAAATATGACATATAAATTACATGGTTTGGAGTTCTGGGGTATTACCCACCCTTCAAATAGTTCAAACACGTATTTAGAGACTATCTGTCAATCAGCACTCACCATATTGTGTCAGAGCTTTGTGAGAAGGAAAGGCTGATCTCTTTATTCCCCCTGTACACAATAAGAGAGTATAAAACATCCTATGACAATGAAATGGACCCAAATGGACAGATCAAGTGAAGTGCCATAATCTTCAAAAACTGAACAAAACTACACAGGGTAAAAGAAAATAAGGACACGACTACAAAAAATATGGCGAGATTAATATGCGTTTAACTTTAAAGTACATTAATATTAAGATTTTAAGGGCATATTTATGGGACAAAACCTTATGTACTGCTCTTAAGCAAAACTAGTTGATAGCCCGATCCAAATTATGTGGAAAATGTGTCTCATTTGCCATTTTCATGATTTTCATAAATGTATAAGACAGGCCAACAAAACAACATACTCAACATGGACTTCCTGAATGGAGGTGCAGGCAGCCATCCTCTCAATGAGTGTGAGGACTCCATCTGTGGAGATGATGTTTTTCCCCATCCTGAGTAAAAGTGAAATAATGTACCAGACGTAATATAAGTAATACTGTCGTGAATATCTCAATTATGTACAATCAGGCTTTTGAAACGAAAACACACTACTTACAAAACAGAGCAGATGTTGGGCAGTCTGGATAGTGTTTCCGCAATCACTCTTATTCCTTCATCTTTCAAGGAGTTATCGCTGACACTGTCAGATAAACAACACACTGTTTGACACAAGACAGATGTTGATGACAGATCATCAAGTCCACCTACTGTAAACTTTTTGTCCATTCCAATTTCAAAAATAAGCAGAAAACATATGAATATCAGAAATATATTTGAACACAAACACAAACACAAACATGTCAGGACAAATCAGTATATTGCTTTAAATTTCAATCTATGAAGGCCATGGCATAGCAAATGGTATTACTCCAGGTGTGTGATGTGGGGACAGTCCTCCAAAGCCCTGGCAAGTTTTGCAGCTCCAACATCAGTGAGGCCTCCACTGATAAAGCTGTAAATCAGAGGAAAAACTCAAACCAATGCAAAACACGCAGCAAGGAAATAGTATGACAACATGCATAAAGGACACAACAGACACTGGTTGATTCAAAAACGTACTCTAATCGCCGCAAGGCCTGGAGTTTAGACAGGATACCACACAAAGCCTCTGCAAACCTGTCATCGTATTTCCGGCTACGGAAACTTGAATGAGATATACATTTGAAAGGTGAATATATGAACATGACCAGTTTGTTTCAGAATAAAAACTACAACCTGAACCAATATCATGTGCTATTGATAAATTTTGGCAGCTGGTAATTATTTTGATGTTATAGATAACTAAAAAAAATGATGATAATAGAAAATCTAAACTATTATGTCTAAATAAATAAAAAATATTGAAATAAAATGACTAAAATAAACACAATACAATTATTGTGAATTTAGGCATCACAACATTATAATGTACAGTATGAAAAATGTTTATTCTTTTGGAGATTTGGTAAAAATTACATTTAACATTTTTTAAACGATTAGTGTTTTTAAAGATGAACTTAAGTTAGCATTAGATGACAGCAAAGGTTATCTAAATGTAAAATAAGGGGAATTACTGTAGTTTATTAAATATCCAATATATTATACATCTAGTATCAACTGATACAGATAAAATAACAACCAACTATCAGCTGATAACCAATATCGTACCACTATTTCATGCATCAATATTTAAAGATGCCATATGGACTACACATAAATAATTAGTTCATAAAGGAGGATTTTATGAAAACTCACATGAGACGATCCACATTCTTGAAACTAGGGAGGATTTCCAAACAATCCAAGTCAATTGAACAGCCACCAAAGTCCAGACATACATTCTGATCAGCAGCTGCTGTTACAAATGCCAAAGAATCCATGTCAACAGCGTTGAGTCTGATATTTCTCAGTTCAAACTGCGGTCTCGAACCAACAGCTCTTGCCAAGTTAGAATCTTGTGTTTCACGAACGCATCGGCACAGCTCCACAATTTTGGGGCCTGTTTGACTGGTACTTCCAGCAAAACCCAGCAAAACATTACGGACGACAGCTTGGCGCCTTTGTACCCAAGCCGCGGCTCCCTCGGCCACTTGAAGCTGGACCAAACTGGAGGTGCAGACCTCTGCAGCAAGCCCACATACGTAAAGATGGAGAGAATCTGTAAAGACAGACTTTGGGTCAGTCTTGGTGGTCCAGCGGGTTTTCAAGTTAAGCTTCTTCTTAAGTTGACTCTCTGTTATGTTCTGACTGGTCATGAGGTGGAGGGCAGCGAGAAACTCCAGCATTGTAAGGTGCATGAAGGTGAAACCGTTTCCTGAAGATCCATCCTCACACGTCAGCTTGACACAAGACAGTATTCCGCTTTTGATGCCAAAATCCTGGAGTTCTGGAGGCACTTCTGTGTCCATGAAGACTATGGTGCTTCCCTCTAGTCCTTTGAGGGCCAACTGGCTCATCTCAACAATTTTAGTTCTGTATCTCTGAAGTAGAGGTGTACCAGACACCCCACCTCCATTGAAGCGTCTGAGGGACGCCAACAAGATTTGCAAGTAGATTTCAGTTAAGGACGTTGGAAGCTGTAGATCAGTATGAGATCCATCACTGGAGAACAGATGATCCACACACACACAGCAGATATGACAGAGTCCAGGTACATGCGACATTGACAAGAGGTGACGGCTGTCCATTAACAAGTTTACAGCCTTCTTTTTGAATTCATCTCCTTTTTCATGAAAGTACTGCTCGGCGTATTCCTTCACACCCAATCGGTCAAACCCCTGAAGCTCACAGGTTATGAAACCAGGGCTCGCAAACATGTCTGTCACATCTCGTGGTCTACAGGTGACAAAAACTGTGCAATCTGGAAGGATTTTACGATTGCACAGTACAGAGAGGAGATCTGTCATTGGCAGAGGTTTGTTTGGGTCAATGAAGCTCTCAAGCTTTCTAGGATTTGTAAGCTTGGCACGAAACTCATCATACCCATCGAATATGAAGCAGACCTTCTCAGGGTTGGAGAGGATGAATTCAAACACTGCTTCGCTTTCCTCATCATCCTCACAAGCAGGATAGAAGAGAAAGAGTAGATCTTTCAGGGAAAGATCTCGTGAGATAAGATTGAGCTGCCGGAACTCCAGCAGGAACAGCAGGTGAATGGAGGGGAAGGAGCCTTCAGCCCAGCTACGGCCGAGGCAGTGCACCAGCAGGGTCTTACCAGATCCAGCCTGGCCCAGCAGCACGACAACCCTGCTGGTGGTTTTCAAAAGAGACTCAACAGACACTTTATGCTCTGACTCTTCTCCTTCATGACTGTCTAGAGACGCTTGAGGCTGGATGGTCCTGTCTTTCACTCGAAGAGGGTTCCTGTGTTTTAAATATACCCATGTGTCCCCCAGACTGATGTCCTTTAACACAGCCTGTGTCACTGTCTCATGTTTTTGCAGTATCATGGATTTAAGAGCATCTGTGTATGTCTTCAAATGATCTATGTAAGAAAATCAAAATATTGCACATTTTCTGTAAATAGAAATGTAAGTTTTACCATGAAATATAATTTGCTGTTCATACAAAAGTATGGTGGCCGAGAGAGCTCAATGCGCTGCAACTGAAGAAAACACATGCAAATAGAAAAACACCCGCAAATTAAGAAAACATCTTCATCAGTTTCACAACACACGTGCGCTCCAAATACTCACAACAGAACCAAATACAGAAACGCACGGCAAAAGTTCACAACCAGACGCGGTGCAAATAGCACAGACCACAACAGAAACGTTTCCAGGTGACCCCAATAAGTGACGAACCTGGCTGGGACGTGCTTATTGCTCGTGAGCATCCCTGTGCCCTACTCCCTTTGAAGGGCAGACGGCAGAGCCCTTGAAGTGGGGACTTTGGAGTGAGTAGGGCACTTGTGTGCCATTATGTAGCCATTTGGAACGGACTTGATGAAGGGAGCAAAGAAAGACAACATAATTTCCTCATTATTTTCACCTGGGATGTTCCCATGACAACGCAGCACATCAGCTGAAAAGCTGTTATTACCAGAAATATCTTATTATAGCTGTTAACATAACTGTTGCAAATAAATATACATTTAGTACAATAAAAGTTTTTAAAATATGCGTTTTATATCTGTGTGTGTGTGTGTGTGTGTGTGTGTAACGTTGAGGCAGGAGTGAAGCGGAGAGAATCCAAGTGCAAGCATTAATTTAATAAACAAACAGGTAATCCAGGGCAAAACAACAGAACAGGAACTCAGGACAGGAACAAGAAACAGCTACAAACAACAAAAATTTTCTCATTAGTATTCTGATGACATTGAACATATTGTTATTACATTTTGTATATTTGTATATACAATGTTGTATGTCATAAACTTCTCATCTCTGTATGTTTTGCAAAATAATAATAATAATAATAAAATAAAATAAAGTAGACTTTGAGCTGTAAGCACGTCCCAGCCAGGTTCGTCACTTATTGGGGTCACCTGTAAACATTTCAGTGGTCTGAGCTATTTGCAGCGCGTTTCTATATTTGGTTGTGTTGTGAACTTTTGCAGTGCGTTTCTATATTTGGTTGTGTTGTGAGTATTTGGAGCACACGTGTTGTGAAACTGATGAAGATGTTTTCTTAATTTGCGGGTGTTTTTCTATTTGCATGTGTTTTCTTCAGTTGAGCTCTCTTGGCCACCTTACAAAAGCCTCAAAAAAAGACTTAGCTCACATTTTAAAATCTATGAATGTTATGGCTTTAAGAAATAAAGTATCAAACCGTGTGGCATCTGCAAACAAATAATAATGCTGTCGATCACAATGTGAACATTAATAACAAGGTCAATGCTCAATGTGATGTGTTTAGCATGTTATTTTTTATTATTTTGATCATTTACAAGATTAATCAAACAGATTGAAATCACTGGGAGATTTATTCTTCTTGTTGAATGGCCAATTGGTTGCTGTCATCCAAGTTGAAGTAAATTTAACTGTTGGGTTGCTCAAGCCGATTCAAGATATTTCACAATGAGTCAAAATTCAAATGGCTGTGTCCCTTTAAGAGTATAACATACCTAGTCGTGGACGTTTCACATTTCGTGATGGTGAAGAATTATCATTGTCACTTGTATGATTGAAGTTTGTTCCTTCAAAATATAGGGGAAAAAACTGTATGAATACTTTTAAACGACAGCTTCTTTCTTTTAACAACTACAGGACACTTTCACTTTCACTTCAAATATGTTTTTTAATTATGTGTTCAAATTAAATAATAGAACAAATAATATATAAACTGATATATTTTGTTAAATTAAATTATGATTAATAACACAATTATGCTTTAATATTAATTGATGGTATGAGTAGGGGAAACCCTGGAGTACAATTTAAAAAAAAAATACAAACATGACTTACCAATTGTATTTTCTGCTACAGATACCAGTGTAGTTTCAAGAAGAAAGGGAATGTTTTCACAGTACTGATATATGATGGTGAGAAACCTTCTACATATGGTATGTTCTGACGTTTTGAAGTAATCCACAGTGGCTGAGACAAGGTCTCTGTTGTTTGTCAGTGACCGTAGCTGATCCATTGCGTTAGGTTCCACTAAGGCAAAGATCCGATCCAGAACACCACTGTCCTGTTTGCAGAGCAAGTCCACCAGTGCACTGGCCTCCTGCGCCACCAGGAAGCCCCCCGACCAGTCCTCCCTCTCCATCCTCATCCATTAGCTGGGGAAAAATCGCTCATTAAACAGAAATTACTTAATTTTGATTTGTATTTAGTTTACATGACAAACCTTATTCACCACAATAAATGTAATGGCATTGAGTTCTGATCTATACAACATGAGGAGGTCTGATGCCAGACTTGTCTAACAACTGAGGCTTTGTTTGGCAATGCTAAAAGCACGTGTATTGCTACAGTTAAAAAAATTTCAATTCACCAGGTATTATTTAAATACTGGAAATACCTGATACTCTTCATAGACGCAACTTTTCCAGGTTTGTTATAAACAAAATATAGTCTGTATGCTAGGCTACAGACCAAAAATTATTGTTCAGTAGGAAATTTGTGGTAGATGCTTTCAGGATGGCACTCATATAAATGCATACAATGTATGTAATGTGAAACTCTTTCAAACTTTTACTAAGAAGGTTTCTGTCTGCACTTAATAACTAAAATATAATAAATTGTTATTTAAGGAGCAGCTCGTGGCCATATAGTGCCATGCATTAAACGACGCATATAATTATCTGGAGGCTAGTTATGTAAAGGTTGACCACATGAATGGCATGGCAATGTTAGTCAAAAATGTGCTTACTCGCGATAAGAAACATAACAAATGTTCTGTATGTTTATAAGACGTATTGATATAATGGACTCACCGCTGGTGGCATAACGCATCGGTCCAGTTTTATGGAAGAAAATGAAACTAAACAAACCCTCTTTGGTTTCGTTTTCTTTTATATGCAAAATACATACGGATCCTGCTAAGTCTGGCGCGAGACTATTAAACCAAACCCGCCTATCTATGGTAGTGTGTCACTTAAGTATGTTTTAATGTAAACCCGCATTTTTATCAATCGACGACTGCAGAGCGTTTAGCCAGGTTTATTTTCCTGATACTTTTCTATGGATTCACAACCTGAAGCACTTTATAAAGAATTCACAGACGTTATTTTAATATTAATTGAACGTAATGCATTTAGAACAGAATAAATTTAGCGCTTATGTTGCTAATTAAAGCTATGGTTATATTGACTCAATGAACACAATATAATCGATTTCAAAGTGTGCGTGACGCTTCAAAAACGCAGTTACATCAAGTTTTACTACGTCGGTTTATAAAATCCGTTGAATCGTGAGATAGGGCAAATGAGGACAGTCACAGGAGTGCCATGTGAGGTCATGTTTGTTGTCTGATCACTCACTGAGGCCACCTAGTGGTGAAATTAAATCACTGCACTCCTTATAAGGACATCAAGATGTGATGTGGAGCTTTATCTATGCAATGCACCTACTAGGTCTTTAAACCGGTGCAACTTTAGTTTTCACGTTAGTTTAAAAATGAAACTTACCTTAAAGCTGCAGTCCGCCGTTTTTACTCTTTGTCGCCATCTTTGTTCGAAATCTGCAATTGCAGATATTCGCGGAATAATCAGCTTTGCGTGAGTTGTGCCTCTACACGGCACAGCACGGATGAATCCAATGTTTTGAGGAGAATGTGCGGCTGTCAGTCGCCGTGCCGGTGTGGATACTGACATTCAGAATCACAGATTATTATTTTTGGAAGTATGACCAACATAATAATTTTCACCGGAAAATGTCATCTGCACAAGTAATTAACATCCACTTTCGTTCTGGTTCTGACCATCTAAGGGAAAAAAATCATTGCACTGATTAAATCTAACAATCGCTTATCATATCACGTAAAACCGTGCAAAATATACTTTGTTCGCAAATTGTTAATGTTCAACATCAGCATTGCGTGACTACATTTAATGCCCGTCCGATATTTATCCTTGTTTTCACATAGGCCGGTTGCAGTCTCTTTTTTTTTTTTTTTTGCCACTCCGAAGTCTTTTACATTTTACAACGGGTGAATCTCTAGTTGTCACTGGTGATTGTCGTTTGAACCTTTCTGGATCCGCCATCAAATTGATAAGTTTAATTATATCAAGTGCTGTGAGAAAAGGCTATAAATCTCCACCTCCAACATCCTCACACACAAGCCTACTAGCCTACTATCCGAGACAGATGTGACGTAATGAAAGACATGCTTCAATTTCCGGCGGAAATCCACCAGTACCACTAGAATTAAAATCATCATTAAAGCTTACCGGTTTGAATCGAGCTAAGGCAAGCAGATAGTTTTGAACACTGGCTGGTTATGTATTTGCTAATTTATTTTGGAAAATTTTTAAACCCAAAAAGCTACAGACTGCAACTTTAAGGCAAGACACCACAGGTGAATAATGTACAAATTTCAACTAATAGATATCACCATACTTCCCCAATCACAGCACATTAACAGTTGTTTTATATTACAAGTTTCTGAAAAAAGCATTGGCATTGTCTAATTAAATATGCACTTATTTGCATACTTTCCAGGACAGAAATCTGATCATAAGTTAAAGCAGGTTTAAAATTCACGTTTCATTTAGTTGACATATTAGAGTCAACTAGGCCTATCACTCCATAAATCAGAAAATACTGTCAAAAGCCAGAAGAAACTCCATGTTTTTAGGAATAAAATGTTAGGCTGTATAAACTAAGCAAATGTTAAATAAACAAACCCAAACAAACAGTGCTTGAGAAACAAACTCATTTAAAGAAAACAACCTTTAAAGATATGTATTGTAAATAAAATCTAGACACTAATTGATAAAGTGTAATTAAATATTATAAAGAGGTATATTATAAACTGGCGTATTTTTCAAAATGTTTCCTTTTGTGTTCCGCTGAGGAAAGAGCGTTTGAAACAAGATGAGAGAGAGAGTAAATGATAACAGAAGTTTAATTTTTGGGTGACCAATCCCTTTGAGAATTGGTAAAATAATAGCCCATGTCTTTCGGAAGAACAGGTTTAACCAGAAACCTGCAACACACAATCATGTGTGACAGCACCAGGAAATGTTTAATAATGGTAATACAATCTATTAGTTGCATTATGGAGGTCATGAGATATTACTGAAGGACATGTAATAAAACAAGGTCACTGTGATTCACATTTTCATATTTACAACATTGATCAGCTACACAAAACATCAAACTTCTTTACATGCAAGCAAAAATTCCAAAAAGAGTCATTCATATTTTTGTGTGTATGTAATGTATGTGTGCATGTCTGTGAGTGTTTTTTTGTGCGAGAAAGAGAAAAATGAAAGAGAAGACAAGACTGTCAATCCAGTGTCCTTTTCAGGAATTCAACCAGCAGATGTTGTGGAAAACCAAAATCCAGCTGGACTACCACATACCCCTGTACATTCACAATTAAAAAATAAGACAACAATGTAACCGTTCAAAGTGTTTTTCTTTGATATCATACATTATGACTGTAAAATACAGATTGATAATTATCTGCTAGTGAAATATACTCACATCCTGAGGCAAAACTTCAGGACTGATGATGTCAAAGAGATTAAGCCCCTGTTCATCCATCAAAGCGGTTAATTCTGGCTCCAGGTCTGAGGGGAGAGATTAAATATGATGCAAAGATATAGAAACACATGATTTATATTGCTTGGTTATGGTGGCCTGCCACGCTTACATGATACGACTTTGGGGATTCCCATCTTTTCCACAGTCTCCTGCAGATAAACTCTCAAGCTGTCCGCCACCTTTGAGGAGGTCATATAGCATTTGTGATAAATAAAATAGGTGATGTATGAAATAAATACATTTATTAATTAATTCTCACCTCAGTGGCTCCTTCTGATGTGGAGACTTTTTCTATAGAGATACTGCAATCGTCACAAAACAGAAAAGAAAACTTTAAATCAGGGATATAAAACTGAGATTTCATGTGATTGTGTAGAATCTATCTCCTTTATAACTTACCGCTCTGCAGTGGCTTTCAGAATTAGTTTCTTGTCTGCATATGAGGCGTTTACAACAACTGTCACATCCTGCAAGCACAGAAACAATTGAAAACCCAGCATAGTGAAACTGTCCCAATGATAAGCATTTTTTGTCATCTATCTATCTCGTTAAATTGTGCTTTAGCTTACAGTCTCAAAATAAAGTACTGGCACATCTTGACTATCCAGTAAGAGCTTGACTCCAGCCACAGCTCTGACAGATGTGCCCTCTGTGGTGGTCCGCAAGTGTGGAACTGACACACTCCTCACCTTTAACATTGGACCCTCTGAGGACAGCCACTAAAGAGAATGTAAAATCCGCCATCACACTTGCACAAACAAGCAGGTGCTCTAGTTCGAAATGACGGTTGGTGTGCTTCAAAAAGGAAAACATTTATTTGCATGTTCCAATGACAGTGTATAAAATGAGTCATTGAGTCATTCTAAAATGGCAGTCATTTCCTCCCCTCTGTGCAGTTTGAATATTCGTAATGAGTGCAGTACCTTGCTCAAAAATGCAGGCCTAGCTGAGGACAGCTCTCTCTGAAACAGATCCTGTAAAATAGACAGACATGCACGTGAATATGCCTGGAAAAAAATCATTGCAGGTTAATATAGTTAACTAAAACTAAAACCATAAAAAACATTTCTGCAACTCAAAATAAATTAACGTTAACTGAAATTAATATATATATATATATATATATAATTATATATTTCAGCTATTGCCAAAGCAACATTTATCATTTAACTTAATTTACTAAAATAACTAAAATTTAAATAACACACACACACACACACACACTGTATGTATATATACATACATACATACATACATAATATTAGCTCATTTTTGCAACTGTCATATAAGCACTAGTTCCACTCAAATTTGTGTTATGAAAATGTATGTAATACAGGTAGTAAATTTAACTTAAAGAGTTAGTTCATCCAAAAATGTAAATTCTGACATTAATTACTCATCCTCATGTCGTTCCAAACCATAGACTGTTGACCCAAGAGCAGACTTTGTTGCGTGAATGCACGTCGGACCAGTGGTGGAGTCACGTGGATTACTTTAAATTACGTCTTTTTACTCATTTTTACTATACCTTTCTGGGGCTTGAAAGTGGTTGTTGGGTAGGTTGTCAATGGAAGGACAGAAAGCTCAAAACTTTCATTAAAAATATCTTAATTTTTGTTCCGAAGATTAACGAATGTCTTAAGAGCACGACATGAGGGTTAGTAATTAGGCTAATGACAGAATTTAAATTTTTGGGTGAACAACCCTTTAATTCCATAGGCTACACACTACACAGACTTTATATAGCCTATGTATATGAAGTCTTTGCTTATATGTCTTAGTTGTAAAAATCCTCAAATTTGTTTTTTCTTTTCCATTTTCCTAAAGCAAGGTTTTCAGTGCAAAAGGGTCCTTTTACCTTTTTCATGTTTTTCATTTAGATGCAAAAACATATCTGCTCAAAAGCACCCCCTGGAGTTTAAAAGCATTTATTACATCACACAAATGCTGCGTATAGCGATAAACTTTCATCATACAAATGGCTCCAAAACACATCTAATACTGAATGATACCATACTGTGAGTTCTGTCCCATTAATATTGCGAATAAATCGTCCATCATGGTGTGCGGCGCCCATTATGGGGTCAAGAAGACCATCGGAGATCCAGAAGTAAAGCATGCGGTTCTCAGTCAATTGGGAGGGGTTAAACACAGAGGTGTTGAGGTCTGAGGTTACATTATTAAATGTAACCAAACCCTGTTTATCAGAAGAACAACAGTAATCACATAATAAGATATGCATTTGTTTGAACAAAATCTTTAAGAATAAAATCTTTATAATCAGACCTTATGATATGATTCTATATAATTAGATTTGATGATGGGGGAAGAGGTC